TTTATTATTTTATTAAATATTCAACAAATATACACTTTGAACTCTTATTTTGCTCTAGTTATTGTGCTAGAGGCTGTAAATCTCAGACAATAAAATACACACAGCATTTTTGTGGAAGCAAGAAAATTTGGGGAGGTAAAAGAAACAGCTAAGATTCAGTAACCATTTTTTATAATCAACACAAGTTCATAAGAATATTATCATTGTAGGGAAAGATGTGAGATAATTGCCTTACAATAGCCTTAATAATACAAATATTATGTTCACAGTTATACAAATTATGAAAAGTATTGAAGTAATTGGAACTTTATGCTAATGATATTAGCAAAATGTCAAAGATGCCAGGAAATACTTAGGACACATTTCCACTCAACTTTCTTATTATATGTTCTAGACATTACTGAATATGTGTGTATATTGAAGGAAATGTCACTGAATATTTTGTTTGTGTGCAGTTTAATAAGTCTAGACATTATCACTGGAGTCAAGCACACGCTTGAGAATACTAATGACAGATTCAGCGACTACTTTCTCCACTCAGAAAGTACTAATGCAATGGCAGATGAAAAATATTTCAATTGGTTCATAATCTCTGAATATATACATTAATTCTTGAATTAAACTTTAAATGAGGAAACTGAATATTTCATCTGCAGCGTAGTTCAGTTGATACAAAATAAGTTCAAATATACAGTTATTCATGTTTTTAATTATTTCATTACTGGCAATTAGCTGCAGGGTCATTTATAGCAAGAATTTTTTCATTTCCTTAATTAACATCTAGTAGCTTCCTGTAAAATATTTTATATTTATTGAAAAATAGAGTATGTAGGTGCTTCCTGTACAGCAGAAAATGTGTGAGAAAATCAACAACTGAAAAATGTCAATTCTGTTTTCTCACTTAGAAAGATGATTAATGTTGTAACAAGAGCCTAAAACTTACATACATATGTCTATGATTAAAAACAAATCCGGACTGGTGCCACGGCTCACTAGGCTAATCCTCCACCTGCAGCGCCGGTACTCCGGGTTCTAGTCCCAATTGGGGCACCAGTTCTGTTCCGGTTGCTCCTCTTCCAGGCCAGCTCTCTATTGTGGCCTGGGAAAGCAGTGGAAGATGGGCCAAGTGGTTGGGCCCTGCACCCCATGGGATACCAGGAGAAGCACCTGGCTCCTGGTGTCTGATCAGCGCAGCGTGGCCATTTGGGGGGTGAACCAATGGAAGGAAGACCTTTCTCTCTGTCTCTCTCTCTCACTGACTAACTCTGCCTGTCCAAAAAAAAAAAAAAATCTTATTATTTGTTGTTGAATTAAGTAATGTTTAATTAATACTATCTTATGTAGTCGTAAAGTAACATCATTACTCATTTTAGCAAACTTCACTTTATTCTTATGGACACAAAGATTGCAGTTAAAACCACGATTAAAAACTGTATGTCAATGTAGGATAGATATTTCAAAATCGTTTTGGCAAGCATCATATCTCCAGCACTCTTCTGTTAATGCCCCCATCACGTGGTATCCTTGTGATTCCCATTTTCCTAACCTGTGGCCCAGTTCCTTGACTACCATATTCCAGGGGTTGACATTGAACCAAGCTGTGTTAACAGTTTCCTTTATTGAGAACTTTAAATCAGCAAATTTGAGAGAGAAAGAGAGAAACTGTTATCCTCAGTTTGAAAATGCTATAATGTTTTAGTAGGTGGCATTCAAAAGCAATTTTTCTTGCCATATTGAGAAAGCTAAGCTGCATCAAAAGAGAGAGAGAGAGTGTACAGGGTGTACAGGAGCAGGTAAAACAGGAGGGAGGGAAGATTTCCTAACCAGCCAGCAGAGGGCCTCTATTCCTAGTCCTAGCCCATTTCTTTCTAAGGCCTCCCTTCATTCTTGCTTTTAGACGTACGGAGCTATCATACATCTTCCTGTAATAGACAACTCTGGGTAGTAGTTGTCATATCAGTTAAAAATGCAGACAGACAAGTCACAGCACTTATGCAGCTTACCCCAAATAGCGCAAATAGTCAAGAACAGAATTGGAGCTGGCTGGCTTGTATTTCATGCGCCCCTGTTCATGCTGTCCTTGGAGAGAGAGAAGACACACAACTGTCTTTGTTCCCTTTAACTTGGGAGAGAAAACCACTGTGACTGTGAAACAATACGGGGACTTACGGTGATATTTTTATTTTTAAATTATATAGGCATGTAATAATTATCCCTTAGCAAGCCAATCATCAGACTTTACAAATGAGAAGACAAAACAGGTTGCTAAAAAACAGATGATGGTGAAAGAAGCGGCTATGAGCCACCATAAAAGTAGCCTTAATAAAAAAAAAAAAAAAAATGGGGCTCCTGAGACAAACAGTTCCAGAGACGGCCTTGGGAAATGGGGAGTAAACCGGTTCACAGAGAAAGCAGTTAGCTACTAACCAGAGATACAGGCAACAGAACATCCTTCTATGTAGATAAGCCCCCTCCCCTGTGCTTGTTCAAGCTTAACAAAGAAACCGTGAGGCACGTAGGGCACGTAGCCACCCCTTTCTGCTCTTCAATGACCCCCTCCCCTTGTCCAAGCTTAGACACGTAGGGCACGTAGCCCCCGTTTCTCCTCCTCCTCGACGACCTCCTCCCCTTGTAGTTACCCAATAAACTTACGCCACCCTATGGTATGTTAATTTTGTGGTTTTGCCCCTTAAAAGCTGTGTGAGATAGCTGCTCGGGGCTCCTCTCGCTTGCTTGCTGCTTGCAGCAGTAGAGGGCCCATTTGCACAAATGAAATAAAATTACCTCCTGTTCTATTGCATCGTCTGGTCTGGAGTCTGTGTTTCTGGGGTCGTCACAAGAGGACACCACTTTTGGGGTCCTACATTTGGGGGCTCGTCCGGGATTTGGGGGACCCCAGACTCCCACACTCCATCGGCCTGACGGAGGTAAGTTTGCTTACTTGTGTATAATTGTAATTGTGGTTTGTACTGTTTGTCTTTGTCTGCCAGGGCGACGTTGAATCCGTCCTGGGGCGCCTGTACAGGCTCAGTACTGACTGGACCAGAGGGGGAGACAGACGTGTCCTGAGACCCCTGGTCCAACCCTGGAGGACGCTCCAGTGGTGGTCTGGGAAGGAGGGAAAGAGGGCATTTCCCTTCTTCCAGGGGAGAGCCTGGCCAAACGGCCGCTCCCTTCTGAAATTTTGGTTTCGGTTTTGTCTCGGTCTGTTGCCGCGCGGCTTGTGATTTGTGTTCTGTGTGTCGCTGTTTTTGTTGTCCTTTATTTCTTACTGTCTCCCCCATCTGTTTTTATTGTTGTGTTTGATTGCTAGATGTATACTTGTATGAAAAATGTGTATTATATTCTTATGATGTGTTAATTATGTCTGCCTCTCAATGCAACTCTAGGGCCAAATGTAAGGACAAATTTTTGGGATGGAGAGGCTTGTACCTAGATTTGGCTCTGGTAACCAAGAAACTTTGCTGCCGAATGACCTTCTCCTGCTCCTTGGGAGCCTGGCCAGCTCCCGGGGAGGAGGATAAAGGAATGTTTTCTGATAAACAGGTGGGCATGCTTCATGTCTCGGCTCTCTGGCCAAGACCCGAGATGGGACGCACTGCTTGCCTAACATCTTGGCAATGAGCCACCCTTGTCCTTGGGGGCTTTTAGGGGGAGACGGAGCAAGCCTCTGTTGCTGCTGTTTCATTTCGGGGGAACACGCAGTCAAGCTGAATGTTAAATGTGCCCGTGATGATTACTAATAATGTTTAATCCTCAGTATGGATCCTTCTCCGGAGCTGTGTGAAGATTGCCTAGTGATGCCCACAGTACTGTAAATTCTACAAAACATAAGTACAATGTGGACATGATCAATTGGCTACTGTGATTGAGGTGTTCTGTGACAATCCCTTTAATGAGAAATTAACAAAATGGATTAATAACAGGACATTCAGGACCTGACACTCTGCTTGGTATGTCATTACGAAAATCAACAAGAAGGGTTATGCCCAATAAACAGGGGTGCTATAAATGTGGGCAGCAGGGACATGTACAAAATTGTCCAAAAGTTAAAAATTAAAATAAGGCTCCTCCTGGGATTTTCCCCCGGTGCTAAAGGGGAAGGCATTGGGCCAATAAATGTCACTCCAAAACTGATAAAGAAGGTAATTCATTAAAGAACAGAGTTCAGGAAACTGGAAGCGGGGCCAGCCTCAGGCCCTCCCTACAGGGATCAGTGGACCATCTCGCTATAGTATCATTAAAGCAATGGAGCCATGTTTATTGCAACATTCTGTTAATCTATGCTCCTTTACCATCTTTCCTCTAAATAATTTTAGTGTGCACTACAAGGCTTGCAGCGTATTTCTTGCAGATTAAAAGTAACTAAGTCTGTGCACAGCAGACAACTAAAAAGTAATTTACTGTCACAAATTGGTGTAGTTGGCAGGATCTGCAAGTATGCAAAGCAATGCCTTTCTTTAAAAGAAAAACTGAAGTTGCATGTGTAACCTGTGATGTTCCTGGCTGAAAAGACCTTCAGTTCGCCTCTTTGGTGAAGGAATGGGCTCTCTGCTCAGAATCGAGTGAGAATTGGGATGGCAAGTTACGGAGTGCACAGCCTCCACAAGTTATTGAGGTTTTGCTATCAGTGCCGGTAGAAAAGGGGCATGAACTATAGGCTTTGGGGAGGTGAGAATGGATTTTGTTATCTGCATACTGATGCATGTGTAAGCAATTGGAAAAAACAGTATAGGATAAATGTAAATTAAAAAAAAAATGCTGCCCTTCGGAGTCAAACTGCTAAATAGTGGTAGAAAAATTATATCAAGCTCCTGTACTGCTGCCAGGGCCAACTAAGGTTATTCAGTGTAAACAATACAAAATTCCAGGTGGACATAAAAAAAAAATCTAAAACAGTAAAAAATTATCTTAGTGCTGGAGTGATGATTCCCATAATCACTAAAAGATAGAGTCTGTTATTGATAAACTTAAGAGTAAAATGCAACATATGTTTATTACTAACCCACCAACCCACTTGGGATGACTGTCAACAGCTTTTACAGGCCCTCCTGACCACGGAAGAGCAGCAGCAGGTTTTCACAGAAGCCCGCAAAAATGTGCCGGGGGATGACGGCCGCCCCACTCAGCTACCTAACGAGATTGATGAGGTGTTCCCGCTGACTCGGCCTAATTGGGATTTCAATACGACAGCGGAGGGGCGGAGCCAAGATGGCGGAATAGTGAGGGCGCGCACCGATAGTCCGGGAAAATTTAGTTTAATAAAAGGGGAGTTATGGTAGCTGCAGAAAATAGAACCAAAATAAAAATTGCAGGGGAAACCCTTCTGGATGGAGCAGCCGTGAATCGGAGGACCTACTGGGAGAGCAAGGTCGCCCACCGC